GACAAGTTGCTGGAGAGCAGCACTTGTGAAAGGGACCTCCGGGTACTGGTTGACTGCAGGCTAAACATGAGTCAGCAGTGTGATGCAGTGGTCAAGAGGGTGAACGCCACCCTTGGTTGCATAGCCATAAGTGTGGCTTCTAGATCGAGAGAGGTATTACTACCACTCTATACGACTCTGGTGCGCCCGCAACTGAAGTATTGTGCTCAGTTTTGGGCCCCTCATTACAGAAAGGATATAGCCAGGTTAGAGTCAGTGCAGCACAGGGCCACAAGGTTGGTGGCCGGTTTGCAGGGGATGGGATATGAGGCGAGACTGGGTCTCTTCAGCCTGGAGGAGACTCAGAAGGGATATGCTGGCGACATACAGGGATGTGAGGGGATGTCACAGGGAGATGGGTAGAGACCTGTTCTCCCCTGCAGAGGAAGGCAGGATGCACTCCAATGGAGTAAAGCTCAGGGAACCAAGGTTCCATTTAGATGCCAGGAAGCACTTCCTGACAGTTAGGACCCTGAGGGTATGGAATGGGCTTCTATGAGAGGTCGTTGAGGTCCCATTGGTGCGGGTGTTCAAAGATAGACTGGACATGCACATGGTGCGCATGTTGTGAGCAGAGCCGGCTGGAGCCGGGGGTCAGACTAGATGGCCCGGGAGAGCCCTTCTGACTCCCTCTGTTTCTATGTCTATGCTCCTCTTGTGAGCAACTCAAGGTGCTTTACAACAATCCTGTGAGGTACGTGAGTCTGAAAGTCTATAACTAGCCCAAAGTTACTAAGTGAGATTCATGGCTGAGTGAGAGCTATATCACCCAGGTTCCCTTTCCCACACTCTGAACACCACATCACACTTAACAATTATGGAGTGGAGACTTTCTCTCCAGCCCCAGGGCTGTGTAAGCTTGCTCTGTGGGACTGTTGGGTAGCTATATCCTAAGAACAGCTTTCCCCAACCTGGTGGTGTCCCAGTGCATTGGATTACTCTTCCCAGCATCCCCCAGTGAGGTAGGGTGTTTGACAATTAAAAAAAAAAATTATTATATTAGAAGATACTTGTCAATGTTGCCAAGCAGGTTCGCGAAACCTTTGTTTCATCTTGTCCTTTGAAACTGGGTTGTAAATTGAACATAGTGGGGCTTCTTTCTGAACAAACATGCCTAGAAATGTGCTCCCATTATTGTGTAATATATAAGACTAGGAGTAGGGATACCCAGTTTCAACCCTCCACCATGTAGTTCATTTGGTGACCTGGGCTAATCACTCTTTCTCAGCATCCTCTAGATCAGAGGGTTGTTATATTAAAAAATAAGCAGGGCAGCCATGAATACCACTGTGAACTCTTTGATGGAAAGGTGAGACATAAAGCTAATAAAGAAAGTGATAGATTTACGGAAGAATCAGCAAAGAAGTGTGTGTGTGTGTGTGTGTGTGTGTGTGTGTGGTGGGGAGAATGTAGTTGTAGCATAATTTCAAGAGTTATATTAAGCCTTCAAAAAACAAACATGCCACATCGTTCAGTGATCACATTAGTTTGAATCTAATAACTTATAAAGTACAGAATCTGCCAGGAGTTAATGTTCAACATGCCTTCTTATCAGATGTCTTACATATTTTACCACATTGTTTTTGCAGCAGTGTCTTTTAGCTTCATATATCTGTGTCCAACACATTGCTTGGGTGTGGTATTTTCCCGGATTTATGTTTTCTTAACCTCTTATCTTCAATAAGTTCTATTTTTCAACAGAAAACTCAGCTACTAACATGTGGATGGCTGTTGCTTTTACTCATGGGGAGGGAAGGGAAAAAATCAGGAGTGCTGGCTTTCAAATTCAGCAGCCACTCTTTACAGCTGGTGGCCTCTATTTATCTATTTCAACAACAGTAACAAGAACTAAAAATAGACAAGTGGAAAGAGATTGTTCTGGGCACAAGTATAGGTTGGTGCCTGCCATCTCCAGGGACTGTGGAAATACCTACATGCTAAATACACTAGAAGGCAGTCCTCTTCAGTTATTTGTGGTCAGTACCAATCTCTCCCCCTACATACTCTGACATGCACAAAGGTTTGGGAGAGAAGAAGATGTGAAGACTGCAAGACACAGTACAAAACTTCTCTTCACAGAATATTCTGCTGTTTCATACTTGAAAAAATGCAATGTAAAGATGACATGCAGGGATTTCGGTCAGGTGCCTCAGTGCACAGAGTGCTAGCACAATTTTCCTCTGGCAAGCTGGATGATGATTTGTGCATGTGTCCTTCAACAGATGCCTTTCACTACAACCTGTTTCCTGATCAACTGGGACTAAAACTTAAGCCAATTTTTCTTGCACCCAGCCTTAACCAAGTTTATTTAGAAGTAAGTCCCAAAGAATTTCATGAGACTACTACAGTACAGTCATAGAAGTGAGACTTATACATGGCAATCATGTTTACCCCGGCCACCCCATTCTTTGCGCACAGCAAAACTTTGAAGGATAAAGGGCAGATACCTCTTCCTAAACTTTTCTTAGTTTACAAAAACCAAACAAACTTGAGGTTTGTTAGAGATCTGTAAAAGTATAAGAATATCAGGAAGAACAGAGAGACACCTACCAATCTGTTTCTCTCATAAAATAACAGAGAACTGACAAGAAGATGCATAACAGAAACGTATTTCCTCATATAATATAGAAAGAGTTCACTGCAGTGAAATGTGGTGACTAGCAGATGTGGCTTTAAAATTCAAAGAAGTAAAGAATACATCCAAATACACAGAGGGTTTTTTTTCTTTTGGGGAATCTGATTTAGTTATATATTTATAATCCATGGATATATCAAAGGTGTCAGCCGTTTATTGGCATCCAGCACTGCGGAACCCAGTGCTAGAACAACAGGAAGCTCATGGATGTTGCAGTGATTGGAAACGAGCAAAACACTCCTTTGTAGAACAAGGCAGGTCAGTGGGGCTTTCACATGGGAGCTCTGCTCTGCTCTGGAAATGAGCTTTTCTACTTGTTTTGGGATTATTGCCAGAAGCTCTCATTAACACTGGAAAACAGTAGGTTCCACCACCATGAAAAAAAAAGTGGGCTGCAGTGGCAGTTTCAGGTACTACTCATGTTGTAAAATGTATATATAATCGTGCAAGAAAACATAATGCTTCTGAGAGCCAATGGGGTGTGATGGTTAGGGTATTGGACTGCAGACTTGGGAAATCAAGGTTCTAGTCCCTTTTTTGACTGTGACGCTCACTGGGTGATTGTGCACCAGTCACTCACCACCTAACCCACTTCACAGGCTGATTGCTGCCAGGATTATGGAGCCATGTAAGCTGCCTTGGGATCCTCATAACAAGAAAAAAGGATATAAATGCCATGGAGTGCAATAATGCTTTATCAAAGTGATTCATAACAGGGATATCTGATTGAAAGGAATGCACATATATATAATATTGTAATAACAGTGCTAGTTCCTCTTATCCGGGTAGAAAGAGCAGAAGAACATGCCAAAAAAGTAAGCCGATACATGAAAAGAAAGTTTGTCCATGGCTATTAGTAAGGCTGGCTGTATGGATCTTCCCTGTTAAGAAGCAGACTGTCACTGCATACCAAGAGCTAGGAAGGCTATTCTCCTGCCTCACTTGTGGGTCTCCCAGATGCCTCTGGTTGTCCACTGTGCACGGCAGAATGCAGGACTAGAGGGACACTGATCTGCTCAAGCAAGATTCTTATGCTGCGGCTCCAGATGCATACACAAAGGAGTTCAGGCGGAGCTACAGCAAACACAATGGCCTCCTAATGTCTGTTAACATCTTACTGCAGCACAAATCCCACTGGGTGTCCACCGCTCTTAAGCACATTCAAAAGTTTCCTTGCAAACAAACATGTTCAGGACCTGCCTATAAAACTACAACTGTATGCCCTCTTATTCAGAACGCCAGCCCCTTTGCATCTGGCTAGTCTTACTCCCAGAGCGCAAGTGCTCACTGGATTGTGGCCCATATGCTCAATGGATTGCACTTCAAATTCAAAGTCACCTTTATCTGAAAGCAATTCCCATTGAAGGCATTACTAACTTACTCCCAACTCAGGAAGTTCTGTTGCAGAACCTCTTGGACTAACTTTGGTGGAAGCTTGGGATTCGGCTGCATAGCTATAGTCTCATGCAAGGGAAAGCCTGACAGCCAGCTTCTAAGCAAGTTTCCCCAGAAGTTAAGCTACTGTGGATTCAGTGGTGTTGCTCCAAGGCAGAGCGCAAAAGATGGAACCTGCCCTAAGTGCCTTGAGGTCAAAAGTTGAACTCGAAAAGTGAAATCAGAACTTTATGCCTCAGAAATGCAACTAAGGCTATCTTCCCCAAGCAGACTCCCTCCATGTGTGTTGGATTACAACTCTCAACACATCCAGCAAGCTGGGGGTGCTGGGGCTTCAGTCCCAGCACATCTGGAGAGGGCAGCTGGGGGAGGGAGACTTGGGTGGGTTTCACCACCCCCAGGCTACCCTTCTCCCCACCCTCCTGATCCCAGGCAGAGGTGCTTTCTACCCCATCCATCGCAGGAGAAGCCCCTCCGCTAGTATCGCAGTTCCTTTTGTGCCACCCTTGCTAGACAAATCAAAGCGAGCGGCCGGTAGGTGAGCGCCCTTCATTCTCTTCTTTGCAGGAAAAAGGAACGGCGGTACAACCTAGTAGGCAGAGCGCTCGTCGAAAGGGCCGAGAGAAGCCGAGAGAAGACCGTTGGCTTGGTCCGCTTCCTTGCGGGCTGGGGGAATGGGAGAAATGCAGAACCTCGTGGAGGCGCACACCAGCTTTGGCATTACTCTCGGAAACAGCGAGATGCTCCTTGTAGTGGAAAAGATTAAGAAGGAGCAGAAGTAGGGGGGAGGGCGAGCTTGGCAGCCCCAAGGCGAGCCTTTGGGAGGTGACGGGTGGGGGTTCGCCCTCCCTCGTGGTCGGAGAGTTGCTACAAAGAAAAGCCACCCGTCGGCGGCACTGCCGTCCCGAGAGGAGAGACGATCAGGACTTACAGCAGAAAGACCCCAAGTGAGAGCAGAGCAGCCAGAGGACGACGGAGCGGCGGCTCGCCATCTTCGCAGCAACAGCTGTGTGTGCGCGTCCAACTGCGGGCGGGGAGAGTCGCTGGCTGCGCGCTGCGCTTGGAGCGGGAGGGGGGCGCCGCAGCTGGAAGAGCCCGACGCTCCTCCCTTCGCCTTGCTTGCGCACCTCGCGGGCGCGGGCGGGGAGGGCGGCTTCGGGCGCTCCCGAGACCCCCGAGCTGAGGCGGGCGTGGAAGCGGCGTCGAGCTGGACCCGGGGACGTGTTGGGGAGGCCCTGAGCCTCCCCCCGCTGCTGTTTCGAGGAATGTTCCCGTTAACTCCGTGCCAAAGCGCAGGCATCATTTGAAAGCCGTGTCTAACAACTCTTGTCTGTACTCTATAGCAGGATCGGGTCTTCAAGCCCCCTCCTCGCATACTCCAGGGGTTACGTCCCCATTTATTTCAGGGATCCACTTTAAGAAGGGACACTATCCGAGGCAACCCGATGCCTGTTTCGGCCTTTCGAGGCTGCTGCAGCAAGAAAAGGGGAATGAAAGGCTTGCACGGGACACGAAAGCGCGTGAGCTGGCGACCTACAAGCCGTGGACGGTACTCTGCCTTCCCCTGGCCCGGGCGTGCAGAGAGTAATGATGTGCAAGGAGATCTACTCCTTTCCTAAGCAATGAAAGCCCTCCTACTTTTGTAGTGCCCTCCCTCTCCTCCCGGGTATGCTTACTCGGAAGCAAGCCCCACTGGCTTAAATGAGGCTTAGGACTTCTCTACACAAGGCACTTAAACTTGTTCCGAAGTTTCCTCCCTTTCGTCTTCCCGAGACTGGAGTCTCAACTTTTCTGCGCATTCCATAACACACCAGAAGATGGCGCTGTGGTGTAGAGCGGAATTGCGAAACTATCCCAGGCCTCTGCTGCGAGCCGTGGCGTCATCTAGGAAAATATCAGGCTTTCCCCGCAAAGCTCAAAAATGGTTGGAGGACCCAGAGGATTCCCACATTGTGAAACGACCGGTCCAACCTGTGTGTGTGAGGGATCAGGAGGGCACAATTATCACCTTATATAAAACAGCCCTAGCTTCCAGGAATGCATATCGATTGCTGGCTACATAAAGCTGTTGTGGAAAAATTATTGGCACTTCCTTCTATGTGTAAGCACTGGAGTATAGATCTGGGTTGACATTAAACCAAAATAATGATAAGACCAGATGGTAATATGAGTGAAAAATCTCCAGCACTGCCACTTTATGCACTCTTTCCTTGCTCGTTTGAAAATATTCGAGAGTTAGTGTTCCTGTTACTTGGTTCAAACAAGTAAAGCAAGGAAAAAATCCTTCTGTCTATAGTGCACCAAAGCTAGGTATATACCTAGCGTATAAGGCAACTCACATATTAGATGAGGTCAATAGGTCATACACTTAAATATACATTAATAATGTGTGGAACAAGACAACAGGAAGGATGTTTCAGACAAATACTTCTATATATCAGCATATAAGGTAACTCGCATATAAGATAAGATCAGTATTTTGGGCTATTTATATATGTCAGGTATATAAGACAACCACCAATTTTTGCTTTGCTATTTTCAGTTTCAAGATATGTTTTATATGGCAGCATATATGGTACCTCCCATCTATAGCATCAGTATTTATTTATTTATTTATTTTGGTGGAATTTTAAGAAAGAACTATAGAGTAGCTGGTAATCCATCTCTCCTTAAGCAAAAGTGCATCACTCAGGTTCTTCTAGGGTCCTCCATGAAGATGCAGTTTGTTGTTTCCCAACGAGCCAGGCAAACAGGAAGAAAAATACATTGGGGCAACCTATTCAATGTAGTGCTCACCCTACAGCTCACACCAGCCCCAGCTAGGGCACATTTCCATGCATGTATGGGCAGAAAAAAGGTTCTACAACTCCCAGAATTCCTCAGCTAGGAACTGATCATGGGACCTGCAGGACTTGTTTCTGGCGTAATCTCTCCAAGTGGCAGTTCTTGGGCAAGGTGCTGCATCTAGGCAAAGTGCGATGGCCGGATACTACAGCAACCAAAGGTGCTGGATCCAGGCTAGTGTTGTGTTGATGCAACAAGCTCCCTCTCATCCCTGAGAAAGGCTCTTTCTTCTCTAGGCTGTGGGTGGGCTTGCCTTAAATTCCTGGTGATCCTGGGAAGCTCAGGCAATTCTGTTTTTCAGCACTGAAACAGGCAGAAGGTGGTCGTGAACCCCAAAGTGAGAACAGATGTCTCTTTTAATGACTTACTCACTAGGGTACAATCCTTTAGACAAAAACGGTCTTCAACTCACGGCATTCCCAATCAATATGGGGAGCTGTAGGACTTTCTGGCCCTTTTAAACATGCATAAGATTGCATCGTGAGTAGATTTATATCCTGCTTTTTGACTGGAGCACTCAGATTAGCATAGAGCATTTATAAGATACCAAAGATACAGCAAGGAACACAAGATCCATACCCAAAACTGAAGAACACAACCACCAAGAACCCCACAGCTGGTTTTTCCCCTGGAAAGCAGTTGACATCTGTAGAGTGGAGGGGAGTCTTTTCCGTTTGCCTGCTCCTGCCTTCCTCATTCTTTCCTCCTTCGCACAAGGCAGTTGATGCCAATTTGCCCAGAATAAAAATGACAAAAATACTAACGTGGATAATTAGCATTTACAATTGAAACATTGTAATTCAAGCAAAGTTTTTTGTTGTTAGCTTTTAAACTGTTGCATCAACACTGCTAACTTGCTTACCAGTTTGGAATAGAGTCTGTAAATTGCACTTGCTATTGTGCTGTACTGCAGCGGTTTTCCACCTTTCCATGGCTGGGGACTGGCAGAAAGAGGAAAACCACCTCGGGGACCACTGAGTTAGAAACAAAAAGCACCATACACATAATGCAGCATTCTGAGTATTAATTTCCATATATATACCAAAAAAAGAAAGAAAGAAAGAAAGAAAGAAAGAAAGAAAGAAAGAAAGAAAGAAAGAGAAAAAAATTCTTCAAAACAATCAGAAACCAAGCAACAAAAAATGTTAACAAAAGAACAAAATATGAAATTGGCTCAGCATGGCTCTCACCGAGCCGTCTCTCCCCTCCCTGCCCCCACTCCCAGTGGCACCAGTGCCCCCCCGAGAACGCAATACCAACCGAGGAATAGGTGGTGGAGTACAGCCAGCCCCTGCACCAGTTTTTAGTGAATGGGATGTGCCCTCCCCCCCACCCCAGATTGACAGAAAATCTCGTGCAAACTGGTGCCAGTCCACAGACCAGTGGCTGAAAACCACTGCTGCATTGTCTCAGGTGTCAGAAGCAGGACCCACTTAATAAGTAAGTTTGGAACCTGATTTTTTAAACTTTTCTTTTAAGCACAACATTTAGTCAGTTAGATCTCAGAGAATACCAATGACAGCTCCACAAATATTGATGAATGTCCTTAATCTCATTTGCTTCATAGCAGCATTTTTTTCTTTCCTCATACTGAATTCTCTGACGTCTCAGATTGCATTTTTATTTGACTGAATTGTACTAGCACATTATATTTCCAATACTGATTAACACATTACATGCCTCAAAACACAAGCTCCATGAAATATCCCATTTTCATCCTATCTCCCTGATAATTAATATCAATCATATGTTGCAAGGAATCTGGCACATTGATTACAGAAAATATATGGCGTCTTTTCAAACATCTACCAACTGTGAAAAGTGACATTTGATATGTCCTGTAGGGGGTGGTGAATTCTGAAAATATATGCGAAAGAGCTTGGTTTGTGGAAGAGGAACAGGAACAAGCATGACGCTGGGGACCCTCACTGATCCCAAAGTCCACTGGGCACTCCAGCTCCATACTCCTCTAGACACTGGGCATCCCACATAGCCTTCCAGGCTTAGGGGCCTCAGACCCCGGAGGACCAGCCCTGACTGCTTAGCCGGCAGAGGTCCACTTATCCCCTGGATTTAGAAGATGCCTGAACCCCATGCTTTTCTGTGTTGTGTGACCCTCCCTAGACCAACAGCTGCTCAGGGATTTCCACAGGCCCCAGAATCTGGGGAGCACCCCAATACTATAGCCCCTGACTCCCCCCAGAGTCCCCAGTACTGAGGAACCTCCCTAACCCCACAGCCACTTAAATGCTCCCATAGCATCCAGAACCTGGTAGTCTTGTGGTCTTCAGGGCACAGAGGGCCTTCCTTGCCCCTATGTTCTTGCCCCTTCCATGCCCTTTGCCCAGCATCCCACGGTCCCCAGCATTCTTACCTCAGGGACCATCCCTCCCCCTGGACCCTCCTGTTATTCCCCCATAGAACAGCCATTTTGTGTTTTCTCTCATAGAGTGTCCATTTTGTTCTAGAACAAGAATAAATAAGAATGCTGACAAAGTATATATTTATCCTGCATTCTTTGATAAGTTTATCAATGGGTCGTAGGGTTTTTGCTTTCTGATAAGTACTGTTACCAAGCAGCTATGGGGACATTTGTTACTAAGTACATAAGGGGAGTCATATGGTCTCCTGAAATGATGTGGGAGATCATTCGATTTTTCAAAATCTGAGCACTGAGCATCTCTGACATCAGTGCTCAGACTCTGTTGGTGCAGTTCCTGTTCTGTCCCCTTGCAGCTGGCATGGAAAGAACCACATTGGCTGCCTCCCCAGGTCACAACTGAACCTTGGAGGGGGAAAAGGGATGCGATGGAGGCAGGGAGGGGAGAAGCTGGGGCTGAGCAATTGCATGGTTTCAGACTGGTGCTTCAACTGCTTCCCTCTCTCTTGCTGGTCATCTAGATAAAAAATAGGGTGTTAAGATCACTGCCATCTTGCCTCAAGCACTGCACTGGATGCTTGTAAGCCTCCAAGTTCAGAGGCCATGGGGGAGATAGGTGAAAGCAGTGTGCGGAAGGGTCTACTTGGGAGACTCTTGCTGCTGCAGTTACACAGAGGCTTCATAACAGGTGATGGGACTGTGCAGGATTTCCATGTGAATTAGAATTGCATGGAGTCTCATAGTCGTTATTTAGAACACACTCACAAAACTCACATCAGTTTCAAACTCAGCTTTTGAAAGAACATAAAATACTTAAATAAAGGGG